CAAAACCTTTTTTTTTTTGGTGGCTTATATGCAGCCATGGCAAGGCCTTAATGAATCTCTAAAAGCACAACTTCTATTTTGAATGTGCAACTGATATTAAGTGCATTCAACTTTTGAAAACCACCTTGAGACAGGAAGATAGAATAAAAATCTACCCTAACAGTAGAGATTAATGAAAGGAGAGTCTGTTCTTCCAGGATTATAGTTACTCTGTATAATTATGGCTTTAGGATTGCCCTTTAGAACAGATAAATCTTTTTCTCTATTGTCTTTACTGAATGATAATAAGGGCTTGATTATGTATAAAGTTTGCCTTCTCCACTGATGTTGGCTGTGAGAGAAAGCAGAGTTCCTGAAAAAAAATAAAGCCAGACCTATTTCTTCTAAAAATCACCCACCCATGAATTAGAGCCTGGTTAAGGAAAATGTTAGCTCTTAGCTAAGTGTCTCTCAGAGACCAGAGACAGATGTCATACATCAAGCATACCTACATGGTCACACATACAGGTTAGGTTGGAGAGGTAAATCTCAGTGACTCTCATGAAGCATGGGATTCTTTCCCTCCTTCCTGATCCTATTTCTTCTAAAAATCACCCACCCATGAATTAGAGCCTGGTTAAGGAAAATGTTAGCTCTTAGCTAAGTGTCTCTCAGAGACCAGAGACAGATGTCATACATCAAGCATACCTACATGGTCACACATACAGGTTAGGTTGGAGAGGTAAATCTCAGTGACTCTCATGAAGCATGGGATTCTTTCCCTCCTTCCTGATGTCTTCTTCGTGCCAGTATCCAGTGATAAAATTACAAACAAGCTTCAGGTAAGAAGCAATTTGGCATCAGAAAAATCAAGATATTAGGAACAACTGGAGGTTGAACTGAGGTTGGCAAGGAGAACTGAGACGTGGAGGAAGTCTTCTTCAATAGCTGTCTTCAACTCATCAAACAACTATTTGCTTCTCTTTCCTGTCCTCTAAGCTACCTTGGCTTTGTAAAGAAAGCACCAACTTAGAAGCCTCTCTTAACAATTCACAGACAGTGGTGGCCACACTAACCCAACAATTACTCTAAAGAGACAACAGGAACACTAGCTCTATCTTAGCTAACAGTCTGAATGTGAAAAAGTGAATTATCTACAAAAGTTTCATTTCCACTTAAACTTCTGATTACCAGTTCACCTGAAACACTGCCTCACACTGAAGAGAAACTTCAATTTAATCTTTCTCTACCACCTCTTCTTCCATGTTTCCTCTCTTCCACCTTACAATCCATTTAATAAAAAACATTTTCCCAAATAATGTTCAAATAGCCCTGACAAGATGAAAGCAAAAGGACTGTTCAGTTCTGCTAAAAGTCCTGACGTGCTTTACTGCTTTTCTTTTCACTTGAGCTTGGATTATTCAGCCTACAGCCCATGTACCTAATAAATGCAATGCGAATACTGTCACAGTAAGAAGATACAAGAAGTAAACAAAGTAAGTTCATTATTATGTTCAAAACGTTTCAATTCCTTCCTGATCTGTGGAAGATAACCTTCTCAAAGGGAGAAACCACAGCTTTCATCTACAAAATAGTCTTTGGGTATCAACATTTCACTTTCTGCAAGGAAGAAAACCAAGACTAAATGCCACTTTAGTATAAGTCCAGCTTTTCCTCTTTTGTGTTCAGTCTTTTTTAGGACTTTGCTTTTCACTCTTCCATCTTATACCACACATGAAATACATGACTTTGTAGGCAGCAACATGTTGTTCTTAGAGCTGCATGATTCTGAAAACCCAAGTATGATACAAGGAACACAAACAGTTCCAAGCACCCATGTCCCCCACAATGCTGATCAACTGATCTACTCCATACTCCTCCAAGTCTAAGAAGTGGCAGTCAGGACACTAATCTCATTTCCAATGGATTTATGATAGCTCAAGTCAGAGAGTTTCATTACATGAGAACACTGACAAAGGAATTCTGATCATATATTTATAAAATATTATTCACTACACCTAGTCACTGTCATTACTACACACCAGGCACTTACATCACATCCCCACAGCATTTTATGCTTTCATAAAACATGCATTTAGATGAGATAAGATTAAAGTTGTTTGAGTTTCATATTTTATCCCAAGTCTAGGTCTTTGGTTCATGATTTCATTTCTGACTTTTGCATCCCAACTGTTGGGCACAGCTATGTTGATCTGACAGGTATTTCAGATATCTCTGTACTTCCACCTTGCAGCATTTTCAAAGACTGTTTCTTTCCCTGATGAAGATTAAAACGTTCTCATTAAGAAACAGACCTAAAATCCATTAGAGAAATATAGACTACAAATGTAAGTGTGTTATGTATTTTTTATCAGAGAAGTCAAAGTTATGATGCCACTGACATACTTTTGTTTAGCAGTTTCTATTTTACAGCATTATTTCTATAAAGTTAACCACAAGACTTATGAATGCAAGTTTAACTCCTAAAGTGGTATCTAAATAGCTCTTCTCTTCTTTTCCCTGTATGGATAAGAAATAGCAAGTCAGGTTGGACTATAGAACATGTGCAATGTCACTGTTTGCTAAATTTTATGCTATGTAGGATTAACTTGGTAAAATATCTCAAAATAAGAGCAATAAAAGCCAAGAGGCATTTTCAGTATTTTCAAGTCATTTAGTAAAAATAAAGCTTTTTATTTCTTCCTCTAATGATACACACGCTCCAAATGTATGTTTAAATATACTCATCAGTGCAACTATCAAAGGCTAAGTGTGTATTATAGAAATGGGCCCCCAGATTAAGTATATATTGTGAAATGTATGTGAATGTGCATGACTTGAACCAATGAACTGTGGCCTGGAATGATGTCACAGAATGTGCAGCATTAAGTGGAAGGTTAAACCTACTTGCATCTCGGTTCATTAAACGCAGTTAAAGTGCAAATTCCCTCATTCTGACAGTAGTAATCACAAGGGTTCACTTTCTGGTCACAGCGCTGACTTTTAAACCCCACAGAGCATCTGCAGAATTTCAGTAAAATAGACCTATATAAATAATTCTGCCTTTTGCTGGACAGATTTTAAACGCATTATATATAATGATGGTAAGATACACACACACACATACACAGGCACACACTCACAGAAAACAAAATTAATACTCTTTTTTTTTTTCATGGAAAGTCCATTTGGCAGTACTGAAAAGTTTGCTCATCAGTGTTGATCAGTTGTCAGATGTGCTATGCAATTCTATTGATTGACTCAGACTGCAATGGCCTTAAAATTATTCATGACCATTTTTGTACCATTGTTAATGGTATCAGTACATGACATAGCACTTAGGTATCGTAAATCAACACACAAATTAGAGTATGTAACTTTTTTCCCTTGAGATGCTATGGCATTCCAGATGAATTTCAGAAAAAAAGCCCCAAAACTACAAACCACTTTTGTAAGGAAATAGAAAGAAAAAAACCACAAGTTTCCAAAGCAGCCATTCTAGATATTTAAGCAAATGAATCATCAGACTTAGTCATCATATTTGGGCCTTACATATTAAAAGCTGTGATATCTGATTTTTGCTGTGGTTTATCAGTCTCTCTAGTCCTCAACTAAAGACATTTAAGCAGGCACCAGTAACAGATAAAAAGGTCTGGATCAAAATAATAATGAAAAAGAAACATAGACACTTAAAGAATTTTTAACTCTCTAAAGGCTACAATGCAGAACTGAATTCCACTCTCTCAGACCCCAAAGTTCACACATCTGTTGGCAACTTCTTTTCAATAGTACAACTACAGTTGTTCCCTTTTGCACAGTCAAAAGTGCTTCAGCTGTCACAGGGAGGAACTATTGGCCCTTCTCTTACACTGGTCAGACTAACAAAATCTAGGCATTTCTCTGTGAAACTTCCTTGAGAGTCTGAGTACAACAGGCACTCTCTTTTAAGACCACCCACCTCAGACACACCAGCAAGATGAGGGGATGGCTGCATCTGTATTTCCAAAGCTGTATAGTGTCAGACCTCTTTGGGCAACAACATATGCCACCTTGGAACATGTGAGTCCAATTCTCTCTTCCAACACCTCTCTCCTTCAACCTGGAGGATGTTCCAACCTCCAGATTGTTCTGAGAAGTGGAAGACTATTCCACAATTGAGCTTTTCAGCAGTGCAGAAAAGACTGGATCATTTAGTAGTCAAAAGTGAAAAAACAAGGAGTATGACTAGGTAGCTCATTGTAACTGACAGCAGGAAAGAAATTAGTTTTTTGCTACAGTGACTACTTCAGTATTTTATATTGAGCAGCTGTAAAAGTAGATATACCATAGCTCTCAAGAAAGGACTAGAATGTAGGCTTTTCTCCCTCTTACAATGGCACTTCACAATCTAGGCTACAGAACCCCATTTTCTTTGGTATTTGATGTCTGGGCTTAAGAAAAGCATCTTGAATTATTCTCTCAACCACAGCACAGGAGGGAGAGTGCAATCTCACCACAGAGCAGCCACGTCACTGTGGGCAGTGTGAAGGTTAGGGCAGAAAGGAGAGATACATGAGCACATCCTCAGACTCATAAGGGAAATAAACATTGACATTACTCTTCCTATTCTCTAGCCATCAGGAAGGATGTTTCATCCCCACACCTCTGACCATCTTTATAGAAGAAAAGATTTAATCCACCTTTGAGATGCTGGGCAGACAACCATCCTATGCCTCCGGGTTCCATTTCAAAACAAATGCCTAAACAGGCTTTGGGTCTGGCCTGAAATTATTAAAGTCTCAAACACATATCTTTGTATCTATATGCATTCACATTGTACTCCTTAGTTATACCTTTCAACACACCTCTTGGAAAAATAAAGGCAAAGTCTCAGGTTACAGAAATAGCTAGAAAATATACTGTAAGTTATGACTGCAACCAGCACATTATGCATCCTAGAGGGAGCAAAAATGCAGACACGTGCACAATAATTTTATAATTTGTTGGAAGACAGATATTTTAATGATCTACATGATACTCACAGACAGACAGGTATATTTGTCTCTGGGTCCAGCTGGCATGTACCACCGTTGTAGCAGTAGCCATCACATAACTGACAGGTAGAGGCTATCTTGCCATTAGTGCAACTGTCATGGTTAAAAAAAAAAACCACAAAAACCAACAAAAAGCAATCAGTATTTTTGTAAATCAGGTGAATTCCCTTATAACTATTTATCTATTAGAATACTGATTTTATCTTTACACCAGATCTACTGATTGCAAGAGTTCTAGGTTTCCATTTTGAAAAGCTGGCAGAGAGATAATTACACAAAATATCTTCAATCTTTCCCTTAATGAAAATAAACTATTATTAATATACAAAATAATCACTCAGCAATAGAGCAGCACATCTTCCTACCTATGCCTCCATTAGTATACAGTATGTCTCTATCACTGTCACAGGTAATGCAGAATGAACAAATTTCAACAGTGTGGTAAACCTTGACTGTTAACTTCGTTAATTTCAATTTTTCCAAGTGAAAATCCAACTAGTCTCCTGCTACAGTATGCTTCCCCCAGTGAGAAGTGCTCCAGAAGTTGGTTTAAAAAGGCAGGAGTCAGTGGGTTTTGTGTGGGCAGGAACTACACAAAGGATCTGATCTGATGTGAGCAGTTCAAGGACTAGGCACTCTGTGAGAAATTTAAAGGATAATGCAATATAATCACTATTAAATGTATGATTTGGAACAAAGTCACTCCTCTCCACACACTTACTTGCATACTATGTCATTACTGTCCTTGTTTATTATGCAGTGTCCCCCGTGGCACCTGACACACTTGTCCACTTCACATTTTGGCCCTTCAAATCGTACTGGGCAGACACATTCTACACTTCCATCATCAGAAATAGTACATGATTCGGAGTTCACACAGTAATGGTGGCAAACATCTGGAAGTACCATGAAAGCTAGTTACTAACAGGAATTCAGGAGTATTATAGGAAAGCTCTTATGTTTTAAAAACGTACTATAATAAACCAAAATGATAACTGAAGCTGATGACACACTAGCAACTACAAGAATACTCCATAAACAGATACATAATATATTAATGATGCAAACTTGGGAAGCGAAATAGAAAGATAAACTCATAACTGATTTTTTTTTTTTTCTCTTTCTAGTTGTCTAACCATTTATGGCATCATCCCACATAATATAAAGACTACTGATGAGAAAAGCAGAGCAATGCTAATGTATTTAATGGGACGTTGGCTGAATAAAAATCTTTTGATACATTCACATTACCATTAAGAGCATTATGCCAAACTGAAATTGAAACAATATTTTGAAATAATTATGTTTTATTTTCATTTATCCACATATTAAAATTTCATGATGTTCTAATAATAATATATAAAGACATAATCCATAAGTTCCACAAAATACTACATATATGCTTATCTTTATAGACCATGCAATACTCTGTTATCTTATTTAACTGCTTAAATGACTGCAGGACTGAGATTTCAAGTAGTGAATCCTTTAACTCTTCAGAAGTGCCACTATCTGTGTCATTTTTCATTCCTCTTAAAAAAAAAACCAAGTTGCCTAACCAAAAAATTCTTCCAGACCTACAAATCATGTCCAGAAAATCTGTGGCTGTCCCATCCCTGGAAAAGTTCAAGGCCAAGTTGGAAGGGCTTGGAGCAGCCTGGTCTAGTGGAAGGTGTCCCTGCCCATGACAGAAGAGCTGAAATTCAATCGTCTTCAAGGTCCCTTCCAACCCAAATCATTCTATGATTCTATGCAATGGCAACCTCAACCTCGAGTATGAAAGTTTAAGCTCTCCAGCTGGACACACTGCCACCAGAAAATTGGAGACTACTAAGATATATTTTGCTGTATATATTCAAGATGGATGACCATAGAATTACAGAATGGTTTGGGTTGGAAGGGACCTTAGAGATCATCTAGCTCCAACCCTCCCTGCTGTGCCCACTTTCCACTAGCTCAGGCTTCACAAATCCCCATTCAACCTGGCCCTGAACATTGCCAGAGATGGAGCATCCATTGCTTCTTTGAGTGTGATTTGTGAGGGTATCTCATAAAGTGGGAAACACATTTTGCACGTGCTATTTTCTGCTCAGTTCTTCTCCCTCTTCAAGGAGTATGTACTGCTGGAAGAGTTCTGCTAAATGACAGAGCATGACTGTTGGAGGAGTTATTTCTGTTTGATTATTCGTTGGATGTCTCCATCTAACTAAGCAGGCTGTAGGCTCATCTACTGAGCAACCAGAGAAGCTTAAAAGACATGGAATGAAGTTGTTCATTGCTTGTCTTTCCTCAATTCAAGGTATGGCAATTTGCAGCAGGGGGGCTGGTTTTGGAACAAAAACCACTGCAGTTTGAAACTTAATATTGAGAGTCATTTTAGGAAAGAGCAGTGCAAGTGGGAAGCTTTTCTATGTGCATCAGGAAAAAAAAACCAACCAATCCCAAAACCTAGAAACACAAAATTCATACTCTAAAACAAGTATTGGCTTTTAACATTGATTGTAGTCACAAACACAACTTATATATTCTGTTGCATCTAAAATGTTTATGCTACATTTGGGCTGAAATGACAAAAAATTATTTATTTTTGTTTTTCCTACAGAAAGGAATTTCAGTTTCAGGGAAAGTCACAGCTTGTGAGATCACTATATCCACTTTGAATGGTTGTAACTGCATGAAAACGTTTTCCATTTTTTAGGTTGTTTGGGCTTTAAATGATACAAGAAATGAACTTTAACTACTCGGTATGTCTTATTTCTGGAATTTAAAATAGGGAGTTAGATCCAAATGCATCAACTTCATGTGGATTTAATAACATGCTCAATGGTAGTGGAATTCGATGCAAATTCATTCACTGAAATTTATTTCAGCAGTGCCAGTGTCTTGACATGGAGCACACATTTTGGTTATTAGCCCTTATGTGAACTAATCACAGGAAAAACTCTGCATTGGGTAATTGGAGACGATAAGTGTGAGGAAAATAAGGTCTTTGCAAGCTGGTAATACTGCAAGCAAATGTCTTCTCCCTGCCATAAAAACCCCACTAATAATATTTTCAGCTTGGGAGCAGGAGTAAAATACCTATGCACATTCATGTATCATCCTTTGCATATGAACTAGTTTCAATCACAGCAAAGAAAGACTGAAAAAGATATCTTGGAGGCAAACAATCATTGCAATAATGCTGTATTAATGCATTCCAACATGCATACAAAGTGAATGTGATTAATAAAGCAAAAAAAAAAAAATCACACATATGTGTGAATAAAGCAAAAGAATAAAAATAAATATGGACTTCATATACATATTATTAACTGCAAACCTGTACAATTTCACAACTGTTATTGGCCACATAGTAAAAAAAAAGATTGTAAGACTTTTCTTTTTCCCCTAAAAGTATTAAGCTTTAAATAAACAAAAGCTTAATTTTATTCTGTATTTTATAATGTGCTCAAGTCTCTGTATTGTGGCAGTTTCCCAAAGTGTCAGCAGACAATCCAAATCTGATAATAAGCACTGTTTAAAAAGTACCCCTAAATTTACATTTAAATTAATTCTTAAAAAAAAATAAAAATGTTTGCAGAAGCATTCAACTAGAAACAATTTGTTTGGTTTTGGGTAAGCCTCAAGTAAATATTTTTTCTTAATCTGTGTGTCTGTCTGTGCGTGATTTATGTACTATACCATTTCCAAATACCCAATTGTGTTTGCAGATAGTTATTTGTGGATCCATGCAGTTTGTTTAATACCAAGGGGGAGAGAATCACAATTACTGCTGGTTTTCCATTCAAAGGTTTCGATTTATTTCATAGTCTCCCAACTGGAAATGTATTCAGTTTACTTCAATACAAATCCTATTTAAGACACACACTAACCCTTTCCATGTTTGACAGACCTTGCACTAAAACTAAATACCTTTTGAATCTTGTAGATAAGTCTAAACCAGACCTTTATAACAGCTAATTTCCCTTCCCTTTTGTTTAAATCTTGCCTTCTTGGGCACATTCACTGAATTATGCACAAAAGAGATGATGTCTTTCACATTTAACGTTCAATTCTATAACAAGCACTGTGACAGTCCTGTCTTTTAGAATGCTACAGTCAAAGCAAAGTAGGAGTAGAAAAAAAGGAGATGGTAAAAAAAAGCATCATTCTGAGCTCAGAAAATGAATCTGTTTTAACTTCGAGTTGCTTGTGAGTCATCATGTTGAAGACACATGAGGAAGACAAACTGTAATTTTGAAGCAAGTGACCAGAAAAAGAAATTCAAGATCGTGTTCAAACGTCTTGAGTTACTGAAGAGATAATGGTGAGAGAAAAAGCCTGGAGAGAAAAGAAATATAAACAGAGTAAGAGCAAAAGGCCTATTGGTTGATAATCTTCTTTTCCCCCTCTGCTGTAAAAGAAGTAAAAAATTAAAGAAAGTTGTAGAAAGCGAGAAGAGCCTTTCTAAAGGCAAGAGAACCTTTGGCAAACAGTGTCTCAATGAGAAAAGACTGATGGGTCAGTGTAGTGGAAAAGTAGGGAGAACTTCAGATGCAAAGGATACAATGTAAGTCATGAGAATTAAACAAGAGTAATATTTAGAACCCTTTAGAATTTCAATACCAGGATGGGGCAGAAACCATACTCAAAGGGATCTCAGACTCAGCAAGATGAAGTACTATAGCAATGTGAAACTCAAACCAGTTATCAATATTCTGCTTAATGCAGTTAGAAATAAAAGCCAAAAGTAAAGTAGCAGTTTGAGATGCATGTGTTGGCCTGCAAAGGGGCATCAGAAAGTTCCTTAACCAACTATGTCAATTCACTATGTTTAGGTATTCCACCAGCATAAGATACCAAATCTGAGAAGCTGGAGTAGAAAATTTGAACAAAATGATCTCATGTCTGCTGACAAAGACATTGCACATGTTCATCCATGAAAATAATAAAAAAAATAATTCCTTAAAAAGCTCTTTCTTCATCTAGCCAAGTAGAAGGATATTACAGAAACATGTTCAAATTGCTCCTGAACACATCAGATGACATTCCCTTAGCAGTACTGATCATCTGGGGCTAACTTTAACATCGCAGTAAAAAAGAATCACCCAAATGGGTTTTAAAATTCCATTTTGTGGGACATTTATTACAAATCCAGATGGAATACTTGGTGGAGGTTACTTACAATACTGACACCTGTCTCCTGTGTACTCAGGCAGGCAGGTGCAGAAGGGCTGGTTGCCAGCAGTGACACTGCAGGTCCCTCCGTTTTGGCAAAAGTGGTTGCAGACTGTCTGGTTGCAGTTCGGCCCTGTAAAACCCAGTGCGCAGTTGCAGGTCGGCCGACCTAGTCAAAACCAAGAAAACTATTTTATGATAAAAATAAATACAGATCAACACAATAATCAGCTCTTTAAAGACAGATTTAGCACAACATTAGCGAGTTTTAATGTATGAGCCCAACTAGTTTCTCTAGACACTAATAGAACAAATGTTTGCAAACATTGCTTGAATGCAGAACTTTAAAGTTAGCGCTGTGAGATGTGGAAACCTCTAAACCTGAATCGATGCATTTTTACACTTGGGCATGACTCTTTTATGAGGAGAAAAAAAGAAGTTATTTTAAAACATGAAATAATTTTAAAAGATGGTCTTAAGTAGAAATTTAAGAACATAGAATCGTCAAGATTGGAGGAGACCTCTAAGATCATTGAGTCCAACCATTAGCCTGCCACTCTGCTAGAACCCCTAAACCATATCCTCCAGTGTCAGATCCAGACACCTCTTAAACACTTCCAGGGATGATGATGCCACTGCCTCCCTGGGCAACCTATTCCAGTGCCTGAACATCTAACAGGGAAAATTTTTTCCTACCATCTAATCTGAATCTCCCGTCCCAGCTTACAGCCATTCTCTCTAGTCCTCCCCCTGCAGCCATGGCAGGAGAGACATCCCCCACCTCTCTACAACCCCTTTCAGGTAGTTGTAGAGAGTGAAAAAGGTCACCCCTGAGCAGCCTCTTCTCAAGGCTAAACAAACCCAATTCCCTTAGCTGTTCTTCGTACAATACGTGTTCTAGACCTTTTCTGCCCTCGTTGCCCTTGGCTGGACTCGCTCCAGTGCCTCAATGTCCATTTGAAATTGAGGGGCCCAAAACTGAACACAGTACTTGAGCTGTGGCCTCAGCTGAGTACAAGGGGATGATCACTTCCCTAGTCCTTCTGGCCACACTATTCTTGACTAAACTATTCATGTCATCCTGCTGTACTGGATTCCTCCAGTTGCAGAGGATAAATATTTGTACAATCAGCGTTGGTGTCTCTTCGGAATGCACTCCATCATTCTGAAATATATAAACCTTCACATGTAATCATGTGAATATACAAATATTTACTAATACACTAATAGCTACACTTTGCATAGCAATTTTTATTAAAACACAAGTATCTGTGCCTGTTTTGTTCTCCTACCTCTCTCAGATAATGAATACTGTTACATAAAAATTGCTGTCTGGCATCAGCCCAAAGATGCATGTACCATCAATATTCAATGGCTGAAAAGCAGTGAACACTTTGGATGAACATTTGCACAAAATGAACACCTAGTCTACAACTTCTTTTCAAAGGTTTTTAAAATAATGTTTAAAACCCAATCCATTTCCCTCCTATGATTCTTCCCTATTGTAATTTTCGCATTTTTTTTTCCTTATCTAAATCTCATGTCTAGAGGATTTATAGCTGCGTTACAATTCCACTGCTTTATTAAACCCTTCTCCTCTTCCCTGACTTATTTTCTGAAGGCTTATCTTCTTTAAAACAAACTTCTAGATCCCATTAATATTTTTCCATCTCCTGACTTAGCTTTTATATCTCATTTGTAATCTTCTCGTCAAGTAAATGACCTGATGTGTCCAGCTAGCCATCTCCCTTCTCACTTCCTAATAATCTATTCTCATCCTTGATTATCTCTTACAAGACATTATTTTTCCCCCACCTCCTTCTCCTTGCTTTCATTCAACTTTAAGACTTCTCTTAAATTCAGGGAGAACAGACCAAGTTTAACGTTTTTATTTTTTTCCTGGCTTCTTGGGAAGGAAAGAGAGGAAGATTAATCGTGACCTAAGAAGATTTATGAAATAAAGGGGTAGACAGGATGGTGTTCATTTGAATAATGAGGAATCCATCCAGCTGGCAAGTACAATCAAGAACTTTATGGTGTGACTGCAGAGGAATGGATAGCTGACAGGCAAAATCTCATCCCTTTGAGTGAAGTCGTGGACATACCACATCTCTGAGTAAAGGACTGTGTGTAGACTAGTGAGAGTCAAATAGGTATCAGATAGAACACAAGAAATGCATAGTAAGTAGACTATGGAAAACCAAATCAGTACCACATGTGCTTTATATAAATGGCAAAACTCTAAGAATTACAGTTGGAGAACCAAGGTGTTGAGTCTTGAATGGGAACAACAACATCATCTCATTGGCTATAGCAAATTTGGAAAAGGAAGGTGGCTAACAGGCTATTGTAAAACTAAGACACATTTTTTGATATCTAGTCTTTGCTACTGCCAGAACAGGGTTACATTTTAGGAAGTGCTAAAGTCAAACAGATTATCAAGATAACTACATAATGTACTCTATGTGTGATGCAGAAGCCTTTTGGGCTGGAATTACAGGCATAAACAGGAAAAATAACCTATCAGATTTTATTACTGACAGCCCAATCAAGGTAATGATATGACCACAGAATCTGGAAGAGATCAGAGAAAGTCAGGGTATATGTCAGTTATGAGAGACCCCACACTGCTCTCTAAGGCAGTAACAAACTGCTTACATATAAACAATCCTACTTCATGGAGGGGTGGATTTGGGAGCACACAAGAGAAGCTATGCTTGGCTTGGGCCTGACTTGGTTTCAAACACACAGAAGAGCCAAAATCCTAAGTAGTCAAGTGAAATAACATTAAGGGTTACTTTCCCATAATAATTTTCTCCCATATTCC